GAACAACTTTAATTAAAAGCTCAAAAGTAAAAAATCATCTCAGTATTTAGCAAATTGACTATGAATGATTGTGACCGTTCGTGACCGAACCCATCCCTAGTCGGTGGGGCGTGGGGTCATTCCCCGCCTGCCGAAGCAAGCCGGCCGCAAGTAAAGAAATGATGAAATCACATGTATTCTTGTTTGGGTGGATGGCAAGGATTTCGCTTCGTTGTTCTTTCAGCGTTAGAAGAAATTGGATTCCTTGTCTTCTATACTTATACTGTACTTACCCGTTCCCAGCTATCTGATTCTTTGCGCCAAGCATGTACTGTTATCATTATTTCCCCTTTTAGTTTGATCATCCCACGCCGAATTCCTGCTTCTGCAGTTGTCTTATGATCTTCACGCGCGAGCTGAGTTGCTTGTGATGATCCTGTCCGTGATGGTGTTGTGTGCGGGGATGTTGTTGTGTGAGTGCGGGTCAAAATTCCCGACAAACAAAATCCCGATAGGTCATAAGCCTGACAAAAAAAATCCCGACAATTAAAATCCCGGCAGTCAGGTAGAAAATCCCAAGTATGAAATATGTTTAAAGCAAATAAATTCTTATAATTTAATTAATTTTAGGGTTAGGTCACTTTAGTTAAGGGTTAATATAGGGTTTGCTATGGTCTATGATATCTTTTATCAGAGTTTTTAATTGTCGGAATTTTAGCTATCAGGATTATAACCTGTTGGGATTCTGTCTGTCGGGATTTTGATCCAAACCCGTTGTGTGGCTCTCTTTTCGAGCACGTTATGTAATATCACTTCGCATTTATAGTAATTTTGCAGTCATTTATTCTTCGAAATCTTCCGGCATTGTTCAAAAATTTACCCTCAACCTTAGCCTTACCCGTATTTTAATTTATGCAGGTTAATTAGCAACATCGCATAATCTATGACACCATATGATCCACTCAAGATTGGAGATGAGGCCAACATAATTCAAATAAATGCAAAATATGCCGTGTGACATGATACATTTCGTTATATGAACTATAATTATTCTATATTGTTGGCTAATCGATCAAAGTATCCCAAACTATAAAAATGATTATATAAGTACGTACGTACGCACATCGCTATACTCTGCATAAATCTAGTTCTATCTTACAAAAATGCCTTTGAATCCGGAGTTAGAACAACAAGAAATAGAACTTGCAGCAGATTTGAAAGATGGGAAATGCTGTATATTTACAGGCGCTGGAGTATCTTCTGCTATTATCCACCTTGATCCAATTCTCTCCGAAGCAAATGCCAATACTATAAGGTCAACTGTCGGGAGTTGGGCTGGTTTTCGTACGTACGTTTTCATTCATTTTACAATTCAATTTAAACAATTCAGTATTATATCATTAATATTATATTGTATATAAAAATAGTTCGTGCTGTTGCTGCAGCATTTTTCAAAACATACGCGTCATCACGTTTTCCCTTCGAGGATATTGAGGAACTATTAGAATTTGGAAGATTTGTTGACGAAAAACTTACTAAAATGTTTGAAAAAAATAAAAACCAATTATCTATTGCAATTAAAGCTGTTGAAGACGCTATTTATGATCGAAAAGAATTCTCACAAAATAAATCGATTTTCCAAGATACAGATGATAAAAAAATATTATTTTTTGAAATTAACATTGAAATTCAAAGAATTAAATTGATTATTGATCGAGTTTATGATGCATTACCTCAAAAAAAGTAAGTAATTCACACACTCATTAAATCGAAACAATCACAATAAAGTGTTTTCTTTTTAAAAAACAAAAATAAAGTCCCAAAGAAAATAGCACGAGGAGTGAATATCTTGATCTTTTAAAAAATGTTGCATTAATTCCGTGGGGAAAATGGACTGCAATTACGGAATCAACAGAACTCCTCACAAAACTTATGAACAAAATGAATGAAACATTAGGCTGTAAGTAGCATATTTGAAATCATAAATATTGTATACATGTTGTGATTGTATTTAAATTTCATACCATTTCTCTTTCAAGATTCTCCAAGCGGTAATGTGTGGCAACAAGGTTCCAAGTCAGTCAAACAAAGGATTGACCAATTAGAACATGAGATTACCAATTGTCACGATGAAAAGGCAAAAGAAAGGTTGAAATGTTTTAAAAACAATTATTCAGAATTTAAAACATTATTTGATAAGCTTTCTGGTAGGTATTTTTTTAATGTATCATTAGAAGCCTATTTAGAAAAGATATTTAAATCTTTTATTTTTTTTTAGGCAGCACCGAAAAAACCGAAAATGTCGCAGCATTCATCAAAGATTTCCGATTTACATTAGCTGGTATACTTTCTGTAAATGATGATAGTTTGAACAAAACTTTTAGACATCTCACTGAGCTTGTACTTAGTCCGTTAAAGGTAAAAAATATATCATGAAAGATCTTTTTTCGATCAATATTTACAGTTCAAATATTCTTTTTGTTAGTCAAGCCCATATTCACCTTTGGTCAAGGCGTTGGATATTATATGTGAAGATAATGTGCTCTTAACTTCAAACTACGACACTTTCTTGGAAAGCGCATTATCTCGTAATGCATTGGATTACATGGAAGATTTAGCTGATTCAAGTCAATTGAATTTCTTAATTCCAAATGATTTTACAAAAGATTTTAAATTTCATAATCGTTTTGTTATTCATGTTCACGGTCTTTACTATGATAAAGGAACCTTCGTTATATCTGAAAAGGAATATAAAGATACTACTAACACATTCGCTAAATTTATGAAAACGTTAATTCTTGAAAAGAAACGATCTTTAGTATTTATTGGAGTTAGTGCAGATGGTTGGACGGACTGGCATATGGCTTATTTATTCAATGAATTGGCTAACATGAATGACAGAGATAGCCACCCTCATCACTATTGGGTTGTGATAAGAGGTACTGAATTTCCCAATGAAGATGACTTCTCAGAATTATCGAAGCAAAAAGAAAGAAAAATTACTCTGGAGTATGTTAAGAAAAAGGTTAAAACTGTTGTTTACGGTGATTCTTTTGATGATTTACCCCCTTATTTGGTATACCTTTCAAATTTGAAACCAAAATCCATAGCTAAGTAACCTGACAAAATAGTGTGTGTATTGATTGTAATTTAACATTCAGAACTATGATTTTGTTTAGTGTGATATTTGAACGAATAGTTATTTTTATTTGTTATTAGTTTTTTTTATTATTTTCTTCAGAAATAGACATTAAGCCTATTAATAAACATATTATCTGTATCTATGAAATATTGAATTGGCACATCATAAATAAATGTTATCTTTAACAAATATTTTTGTCCAACTGTTTGGAAATAAACTTGTTTAATATACCGTATGTTACCAATTAAAGTGAAACCTCTCTAAATGCGACTTCAAACCATGACTCGTAATATATCTTGGTTTCTATAAATTAAATTTTTTATTGTTCTCTAAATGTATGTTATCAAAAGTTCAAGTTGCACTTAGAGAGGCTTGAACCTCCGAATAAAAGAAACCCCTAAAATTTTCGAGCCGAAAATTTGATTGAGGCTACTATAATTTACATATTAATAAAATTAGACCCGAATATAAGCAACGCTCTCGAAAAAAGTAATTTTTTTTTTGTGGCAAATTAAAATGAAATTTTGTATAATACAAAATAGAAAAGCCACCGAAAAATATAAATTTTTGGGACGCATTTTTTTTACATTTTATTTAGTGCTAGAGGTCAGCTTTAGGGGTAGAAAACATAAACAAGTATAAGTAGGTTTTAGGAGGTTAAATAGAAACTCCAAATTTCATTTTAATCCGATTTCATTATGATACGCGACAATAAATACAATACACCATATAATTTTACAACACAATATTATTAACATAATATTAATTCAGTGCTTTCTACATACTGCATCGAGAATCGGCATCTGTCAGACTGCACCTTCTTTCCGTGTTGTAAAGGTAAGCCAGTTCACAAACTTGCATGAGAATGGCACCTATTACCCCACCAAGAACAGCACTCTCGGAAGCTATGCAGTTTGTCGATTATTTCAAAAGAACCTAAAATTTGTATTTTTACGGACCAGTTAAATAGAATACAATTTTTCTTTGTTCTTTATCAGTACTTTGCTTTAAAACAAATTGAGATAGACGTATTTTCAAAATATTCTGATGCTAACATGCAAATTGTGAGACTAATTAAATCTGCTTTAATAAATAGCAGACATACCGTAACAGTAATTATTCTTGTTCATGGCCGAATTAAATTGGGCTCTTTTGGTATTTACGACTGATCAATAGGATTATTTATTATTGGTAGATTAGCGTTTATATTGGATTGGATTTTAGTTGGAAAATATGCAAAATTTCTCGTCAAATCTGCTTAATGAGATTTGCTCGATATATGACTAGTTAAACTTATAGTATTCATTTTAAGAACATAATTAATGCAGTTAGTCATTTACTCAATCTAAAGTAGATATTATCATTTTAATACTTAGAAACTCTGCTTATGAAATCGGTTTACTTAAAACTGCTTTGAAGCAATTACTCGTTTCGAGTATGATCTTTTAATTGCTTCATAATTTGCATATTCGATTCATTAACGAAAAAATTTTAGTTGTGCTAACCACATCGAGGTTGAGACTTAGTCATCATCATTTTATTCTTAAAAGGATTTCTCTACATTTCTCTACATAAAACATGGATGACATGGATAAAACATGGATGACATGGATAACATAAATCATATGATCTGAATTTTTTGGGGCGGCGATTTATAACGTCTAAACGTTACATTTTTAGTAGTTTTTTTTTTTTTTTTTAATAGAAAACAAATATTATAACTTTATACTGTAAAAATATAGTATTACATGTAGATATAAAAAATATTTATGGAAATTATAAAACGATGTAACCGATAAATTATTTGGACTAAACTTCCAACAGATCAGACCATTTGACCAGACCAGACTAGTTTGACCGGAGACCCTTTTAACCAAAGTTTTATTCGACCAACTATTTGACCAACCTTGAGTAAATATAAATATCATAAAGATAATAGTAATAATGGTTTTAAAGAAAGCAAGGAATAAAATCATGAAAAGATAAAGATAATGAATCGTATAAACCATAACAGAAATAAAGGTTTAAGATATAGATAAAATATAATAATAAAAAAAGCCTATTTTATATTATGAAGCATATTGTTTGATGAAGTTAAATTTAAGCTTAAAAAAAAAAGAAAAATATGCAATACAGTATAAATATTTATAAACTTATAATGCTTTTAATCATACGTAATTAATTCTAATTTTCACCAATCCATTTAATTAAAACTTTTTCAAGTTCTTCCGTTTTCAAAGGTTTTGCAACATAATCATTTATTCCTAATTCGATACATTTATTTCGTATCTCTTCTACTGGTAAAGCCGTTAGAACAATGATTGGTATATTTGAAATTGGTGGTTTCATTGCCCTAATCGCTTGTGAAACATCAAATCCTGACATCATTGGCTAAATATAATAATTAATAAATTATGAATATTTTTCATGATGATAGATATAAACAACGAATTTAGAAGAAAAAATAAACTTACTAAATTATATTCTGTTAAAATTAATGAAATTTTATGTGACTTTATCTGATCTACATCTGAATAGAATGAACTCGAGGAACATGTATCACTTAATAATTTAGATTTCGAATCAATCAATTTGAGTGCTTCTAGACCATTGGTTGCAGACATTGTTGAATAACCAAGTTTTGAAACTTGTTGCAATGTGTTCTAAAGAATTATTAAAAAGTTAGTAAAAAGAACATGAGTAGCCGTTTTTAAATTTATAAAAATTACCTCTAAACTAATAGGATTATCATCCTACAAATAACAACAAAATGTCATCCAGCACCGATTAAAAAAGAATGTCAATATATTAAAAAGTACGAGTTCTAACAAAATAAAAAGAAACGGGACAATACCACACATAAAATACATTTGCTCATATTAGGATCACTTTTTGTTATGTCTTCATATGTATCGTTATCTGCATCATCAGACTTATAAAATTTATAATCTGCTACTTTCTTCAAAATATTATCATTGAAACTCTTATTATTTTTATCAACAGTAGAGTAGTTATTTTCCATATTCATAAATAAATTCATTAACTTTTTCCATGTAATTGGAGTATGAAGAACAGTAGCCGTTCCACCAACTTTTCCAATCAATTTTTCAGCTAATTCATTGTCTTCATTATTTGGAAATACTATAAATATTATTACTAAATTATTATTATTCATGTCTAATCCTTTGAATTCTAATATTGCATTCATAATCTCATCTTCATTACTTTTATAAAGTCTAATAAATACTAAATCATAAGCGGATTTATTATTCAATTCTCTATAACTTTTCGCTGCATTAATACCTTTATCAAAGGTATCAAACGCATCAACTTTTTCAATTACTTTAAGATAATTCAATATTGCATTTCTTGCATCTTCAAATGGATGAATTATTAATATTCTTTTTTGTTTTATAACATTAGGTAATACATAACTTATTTGATCAAAATGAGTATTGAATAACGGAGAGGCTATTGATAATAATTCAACATTCCATGTAAACCAAAATTTACTTCCTTGCCCTAATTGACTTTCTACTTTAATTTCTCCTCCATTAATTTCTACCAAACTTTTACAAATTGAAAGTCCAAGTCCTGTACCATCTTGCGTTTTAGTCATTGACATATCACCTTGTGAATAACTTTGCCATGCATGTTTTATATATCCTGGATCCATACTATTAATTTACAGAATTATTAAATAAATTATTTAATTAGAATATATAGTTTAACAGATCAAAATGTATATAACATAGAATATATAAAACTATAAACTATCTTACCCAATTCCGGTGTCATATAATTCAACTAATAAATTTACTTTTTTAATGGCTTGACCGTAAGTTGTTTTACATTTGTCATCTTCAATGCCATCTTGTAATTGCACTGAAATTGTCAATACGATTTTACCCTTGTCGGTAAATTTAATTCTAAGAAATTATTAAATTCAATTGATTAGGTTATGAAGAATAAATAAATATATGCATATGTTATATATAAAAAAATATAATAATTACGAATTTGATAATAAATTAGATAAAACTTGTTTCAATCTATTTTATAGTAATAATAAGTTAATAAGTAAGTGATAAAAAGAAAACAAAGCAAGTAATAAGAAAAAAATAAGTAACGAAAAAAAAAAATTGTCGTGGCTGAAGCTGGAAATTTTAAATATTTTAGAGGATGCAAAATTTTTTTTTTTGTATAGTTAGCTTAGGATTTTGGGTTAGTTTTGATAATAAAAAATGTATAAGTGGATTTTGATAAGATTTATAAAGTTTAAATCGATGCCCTAATTTCCAACTTCAGTTGTTTCCAACTTTAGCCGTGACAAAAAAAATTTTTTTTTTCTTACACATCTAATATAAGTAAACTAATTTTAATCACCTATCAGGATCGCTCTTAATATATCTCGGCAACATATCTACTTTACAATTTACAATTAATTCAATATTTTTTTCGCCAGCATTTTGTCCAAATATTTCAATAGTACTCTCAAATAATTCTAATAAATCAAATGTTCTATTCATTAAAGTGACTTTTCCTGCTTCTAATCTTGCAGCATCAAGAATATCATTTACTATAGATAAAACTACATCAGAAGCTCGTGCCATGATATTAATCATATCTCTTTGATCAGTGGTTAAGGTAGTACTTTCAAAGGAAGAAAGGATTCCTACTATTGCTCCTAATGGTGTTCGTAATTCTATTATATATAAGAATGAAATAGGAATGAAATTAATTAGAAAGATGAAAAAAATTTTTTTTAAAGATTATATATAATATAAAAAAAGAATTAAATACCATGAGAAGTATTTGCTAATATTTGACTCTTTGCGTTATTTGCAATTTCAGCAGCTTTTATTTTAATTTCATTTTCAGCATTTTCTTTTAACATAAAAGTGTAAGTAATACCTAAACTTATTTGATTTGATATTTGTTGTAATAATTCAATTTCAGAATCAAGCCAAATAGAATTTGGAGATCTATGTAATTTAATCCATCCCCAACAAATATTATTTAACCTTATTTCAGCAGATAATACTGATACATTTTTACAAAAATTATTACAATATACATCTAAAAAGATATCTACACCTAAATTCTTTTCCAAAGATTTTTTTTGTAAATTGATTAATGTTTGTGATTTATTTTTATTACCTTCATCAGTTGATAATTTAGTAATTATCGATTTTATATTTTTCGGATCTTCATATAAAGCAACTATTTTATTATTTTTAAATCCAGATTGATCATTTGAAACAATAAATATTCTTTCACTTGATAATCTATTATGAATTTCTTTAATAATACTTAATAATGTTTCATTCAAATCTAATCCAGAAAGTATCTTATTTGAGATTGAAAGTAATAATTGTTTTATTTCTTCTTGTTTAGATTGTTGATATGATATTTTACGACGAAGTATTGAGAGATCAATATTAGCACGAATACGAGTAATTAATTCTCGAGCAGAAAATGGTTTTATTAAATAATCATCTGCTCCTCTATCCAAACCTAAATTTAACAAAATAAAATAAATAAATTAATTAATTAATAATTAACTAGTAATTTTAAATTAAAAATTTTTTTTTTACCTTCAATTTTAGAATCTTCACCAGCTTTTGCGGATAATAATATTACGGGGATCAATCGAGTTTTTACATTAGATCTTAACCAATCTAATAACTCATATCCATTCATATTTGGCATCATAATATCTATTAGATTCAAATAACAATAAAAAATATTAAAATATAATTCAATAAATTATTATCGTTTATGTAATAAGTTATATTAAATCGAAAATTACTTACCACTAAGGATTAAATCAGGTAATTTTTTAAGTTTCTTTAAAATTCGTGTAGCATCTCGGCCATCACAAGCACGAAGTACGTCAAATTCTTTTAAAAGATCTGCTAGATAATTTCTATAAACATGCAAATAATAATAAATAATTAATAATAATAAAGTAATAAATATAATTTCGAAATTATTTTATAAAAATGATTAATTTCATGTAATCGAATAAAAGTATTACCGCATATCATTATTATCATCAACAAGTAAAACTTGATATTTCTTCTCTTTAGTAAAACCATTAATAGAATCATGAAAAATAGCATCATCCATTAAAATTTTATCAATATCCATATTTTGATCATCTAATTCCATATTATGATCATCTATTGATAATTGATCAATCATATCATTTTGAAATTCAACGGTATTATTTATTATCCATTGAGAACTTTCTTCTAAATAAAGTTGTCGATTAATATTTGATTCCCGATCACAAATTGATGTTGAATTTTCTACTTTATCAAAGTTAATTTGATTTGTTGGTAAATGTTCATGTCCTATTGGAAACCAACATTTAAATGTCGTTCCTTGATTTACTTTTGAAGTTACAGTGATATTTCCACCATGGCAGGTAATAAGTTCTTTGACGAGTGCGAGTCCTATTCCAGTACCTTCATGACTACGTGAACTTTGAGATTCTACACGATAAAAACGCTGGAATATATTTGGAAGGGCATTGTCTGGAATACCAACACCTGAATTAAAAATAGTTAATTCCGATATAATTAGAATAAAGCAATAGTTGATATTGAAAAAAAAAGATTGTTTAGTTTAATAAATTAAAAGTGAATAAAAAATGGGAATGTTTATTAACCTGTATCTGATACTTCAAGAACTACCATCTTTTTACCATCTTTGTAGTCAAGGCATAAACGAACAGTTACGCGTCCATTCCAAGTATGCTTTAATGCATTCGAACCTTTTTAACAAATAAAAAAAAAATTTTTCAATACAATAAACTTCTATACATTTTAATGAATGAATTTAAGTTTGACGAACCAATTTTTTTTATACTTACAAAGATTAAATAAAATTGTTTCATACATATCACGATCTAAATAAATCTTATCTCCCATGGCTTTATTAAATTTATCAGAACATGGAATATCAATAACGTATTCCAAACCTAATGTATTGGCCATATTTTTAAAATCTGAAGCTAATTCTCGAGTAAATTCAACTATATTAGTTTCATGATAAAGCACTTCTAATCTATCAGCTTCTAAATTTGAAAACTATAAAAGATATAAATTATCTTTAATATAATAGTTTAATTATAATATTTTTTGAAATTAAATGTATTTGAAACTTTATTTTTATTATTAAATATGTAACTTACTTGTAACAAAGAGTTAATAAGTTTAAGTAATCGATGAGAGCTACGTCGTATAATTTGAAGATGTGGCATTATTGATGCATCTTTTGGACTTGTAGTAATTATGTCATCAAGTGGTGAAAGCATTAAAGTTAATGGTGCTAAAAAAAAAAAAAAAATCATTAAGCAATACATTTATGAAAAAAAAGAATGTGTGACATATATATATATAATTGAATCAATACTTTTTAGTTCATGACTAATGCCTTGAAAGAACAAGACTTTTTGGCGATTTAACTCAACCAATACTTGAGATCGCTTCCTTTCCTCTTCAAATGTTTTGGCATGTAGTAAAAATGTATTCATATGACTTACGGCTAGCTAACAAATTATATAATGTATTTAAATATATTCTTTTCATGAATAAAGTAATTAATAATGACAAGATAATAAAGAGAAGATAATAAAGAGAAGATTTGCATACTTTTAAAAATTCCATATACTTATCATCAAGTGTACGACGTCGATTAATACCACAAATTAATATAGCAGATAAAACTTCGTCTCCGTAAAGAGAAATTTGAGTCAATAAAAGTACAGCCTGAGAACCATCTTTTAAAAGAACTTTTATATGCCCTCCTTCCTTTAATAATAAGGATATTGGCCAAGAATCACATTTTAAAAATGAATAAGTAGCAGCTTCTCGTTTTAATTCTACATAAGTATCATAGTTTTTATGAGCATCTTTAGCTAAATCAATGTCTTTAGGAGTTTCAGGTAAATAATCAGGAAAATCCCATCCAGTTTCATCGTTATAATCAAAAGTTGTAGCAATTAGACGGGCAGTAGAAGATTCAGCAGAGCTTAATTTATGATCGACAAAGTAAATTAAAGCATAAGGAATATCAGCATTATTATCATTTAATACTTTTGTTATAATATGACAGGCTTTTTCTAAGGATTCGGCCTCTTTAATAAATATTTAAATCAATATAAATACGCGTTAATATATAAAATGACAATGATAAGAAGAATAAACATATATGCCATACATAACATATAATATATAAGATATAACATATAAGATATAAGATATATAATATATAATATATAATATATAATATATAAAATATAATATATAATATATAATATATAAATATAATATAGTAAATACTAACCAGAAATCCGACGACCAAATTCACCAAGTATTTTTAATCTTCGAGCATTCAAAACTTTTTGAGTAACTTCTTGTGCCAAAGTAAATATAGCACAAACAGTTCCATTTGATTGAATAATTGGACTAAAAGTATAATTAAAGAAAACGTTTTCTACATAACCATCACGTTCTAATACGTAGCAATAATCATTAGCAAAGATGCCCTTGCCAGATACTCTTACACTATATATATTGTAAATCAGAAGGAAGGTTAATATTACAAATGAATTTTTTTTTTAAAAAAAATATTACACAGCTTACCTTTCTAATTGAGCTTCAAGAAGTTCAGATACTTCGGGCCAAACTTCTACAATTGGTTTTCCTAGTACTATTTAATAATAAAATGAAGATAAATTGGCAATATTTATTATTATACTGTAAATATATGATATTAAATTATTTAATTAACCTTCTTGGTATGGAAGTTTCGTTTTTAAAATTGGTTGCCATGCTATATAAGTGAATAGAAATAATTATTTTTAAAGCTAATCAAGTATACAAAAAGAATTTTAAAATTGGTTACAGGTACAGTACCTCTATTATATATTGTAATCCATTTAGGATAAATACAAACACTGACAGGAAATACAGATAAAAGGCACAAATTCTGAAATTTGTCAAGAGTTAAATTAAAATTTTACGATTTCTAAATAAATAAATGTATACATGAATGTATAACAGAATATACATATATATAATTACCACAGCATTTTTGAGAGCAGGATCCCATGAGTCCATAGGACCAAGGATGGTTGATGACCAGTCATAACTATAGACCACTTTAGCAAAGTATTGATCCTCATTTTCAGTATCACCGCTGTAGGTCAAAGGTAGCGACATATAAACTAAAAGACAAAAGTTAAGATTTCCAAAGGGAATGATAAATCAATTTCATTTTTAAATAAAAAACTGATTAATTAATTTTACTTACTAATGATTTAGAAGGAGTGATTATAAAAAAAAAAAATTTAAAGTGTAGATGCGATTTGGTAAGTTTGGTCAAATAGTAGACTTTATATGTTAATCGGGCCTGTATAATTAAAGAGAAAAAAATTTCTGATGCTTTTATTCGTATATAATCTGCATAATAAACCCTACGTACATACGTAAATAAGTATCACAAAAGCTATCTTTACGCGTTATTCAGTTATTGTTATTCAGGTATTGTTATTCAAGTATTATAGTTGTTTAATGAAATTTGTATAAATTTTATTAACCAACTTTTCAATATTTAAATTCAAATAACCATATGCTATTTTTGAAGGTTGAAAATAGTCATGTAAACTTCAATATTGACAAGTGCCTCTTACAGTATATCATTGTGACAAATCGTCTTACATAATAGTATTACACGGTATTTAAGTTGTATATTCGAACTGTATGTGAAACGGCGAATGAGGAAATCATGGGTTACTTAATCATTTTACTGGTTTAACTACTGTAAAGGGAAATATATACATCCGTATGTAATGTACGTTCACGTGTGAGTGATACAAACCAGAAAAAAAAGAAACTTTGAAGTTTTGTATAAAATGCGTGAAAATAAAGGGTTTGAACTTAAAACAAGTTATGGTCGAAAAAATGGCCAACTTGTATACATAACATTTTACTTTAATTAATGCCATATGCATAAATAAATAATGTACGCGCATTATTATTTATCGTTATGTAACCTTGATAACGATAAGTTTATGTACAATCTTAATTTATTTATCGTTATTATGAATTTGTATGCAATATGATTTAATATGATTGGTCAATTTCAAGTACCGTGATCGGCGTTATCCGTTTACTTTCCTAACGCTAATGTTACTTCCAATGTTACTTTCGAAACTACCAATAAATATAAAATAATTCGTTCTTAATTGCCCGGCACTAGTTTTAATGAAATTCTTATTAATGTTATGGTCCAGACCAGTTAAGACCTGACCATTAATACCCTTAATAATAATGACCTCATTGACTAATTGATGCTAAATTATTAAATCAGCATATTTGTTACATTTGTTAAACATTTGACTATTATTTATTTCTGCCTATTTACAGTTAGCTTCCTATAAATGCATACCATTGATAATTTCATATACTCATAGTTTCATTCTACATTGTAGATCGGAAATAAAATTATGACATCACATGAATGAATTTTTCGTATCTGTATCTACGATGCTTGTAACATGACCGTGGTGTAGAGTGGAAATATTCTTAATTTAATAGAATTCTTTAATTCACCCTAAGTGCAGATATATGTGAAATAATATAATTGAATGTAAACACAGTACTTACAATCTTTAGAGAGAAGTAGATAATTTTGTATTGTATATGAAATTAACCATAATCTTATTATAACGATAAAGCTTGAGTAATGATATTTTTATAGAAGTTGGTAATTAAATCCATGATGAATAGAGTTTATAGTTGATTAATTAAATTAGGCAATTTTTGTTCATACCTCTAGCTTATTATTCGTCCGTACGTGAAATCCAATTAATTTACCAGGAATCTCAGGAAGTTTCGAACATGAGGTAGTACATGTACTAGTTTCCTTAAAATTATTGACATGCGAACGTACCACAAACCTTAAAACTATCATGGTCACATATAAAATGAAGTTTCATTAACGTTGCACTGTTAATACCATAATTAAATGAAAACTTAGACAAGCCGCTCCTGAAGTGTGCATATGCCTAAAATCGTATGTAAGTACGTACATACGTACGTACGTTCTTGAAGTTGCGCCTGAGCCCCTGAAGCCAAATCTTACATGCATCAATCAGTAATTCAGAAGGTGCAACTCTAATTTAAGACACGACATCGACATTCTAGAGAATGTTAAAGTTTTCGAAACATGTCATACGATGATTACTGTAATGGCTAATCATTTCTGGAATTGATTCTAAAGTATTTTCACTTAATAATCGTAGAGTAGACTCTTGGAACATGAAGCTTGTATTATGTTTATAATTATTTCATGATTTAATATTATACTTGACGTAGAAACTATTTCGGCATTATAAAGTTGCCGATGCCGTAATACTTTCGGAACATCTGCAATAGTCTCTACTCCATGCATAGATCCATACATAGATCCATGCATAGATAGCTGTATGTACTGTTAAAGGGGAAAACACAACGCATACAATCACAAAGGAACGGCGTCGCGTAACGTTATTCGACAGGTAAAGGTGAGGCGGATACGATTTGGCGGTCCAAGCCTGTAGACAAATACGTTACACGGAACTAGAGGTGCAGGCGAATCGTCCCAATGATGTTACGACTTTAAGCCGTAACTAGCTAAAGCTTATGTCGTAGCTAGTTACGGCAATCATTGGGACGATTCACTTACATCTCTACACGGAATGAATGGGTGTCACGAATGTCAAAGTAGACTTTTCTAAAATGTCTATACGCGATTTGTGTCTTTATTTATTTAATTAAATAAGTGCTAATGTTGTAAGAAACGTGATGATTCCATGTGATTGGTTGAATTATATGTGTATCGATTTGATCTGTAAACTTTATGCAGAATTTATTGTAGTTCAATAATGCTAACTAAGTTTGTCATTGTGCTGGTACTTTATATTACGTATGAAATTTACATGAAATCCATGTTACTGGGCTTGGATTCACGGGTTTGCTCCAGGGTCGTCGTGGTCTCGGACACCATTTCACGACGATTTCGTGCGTAACGTTCGTGGGTCATTTTTCCTCTAACAGTACTCATTTCCTCGACAGCTATTTAATCGACATCACATATGTTTAGAGTTGGAATGTTATTAATTGCAAATATATATTAATAGTAAATTGTCACCCGTATGATGTAGGTTAAATGGCTGTTTGATAAAATCATAGCATTGACTTGACTTTAATAATTTTATTATTATTATTACAATTATTATTATTATTATTATTAGAACTGGGATAACCAACTAAACAAATTTCTTTAAATATATTTAAGCTATTTTTATAATTATGTTTTATTATTACAAAATTTGAAAAATATAGTTTGTTTAAAAAAATCCCTATCGAGATATTATTATTAGGCATATAAAGTTGATTTTTGGTTCTCGTATCATGAAAATTTTAAATAATTTTAATCAACTAACTTGTTTAAAAGATTTGTTTATATAGAAAATTTTTAAATAAAAAAAGTTATTTAATTATTAAAAAGTTTTGGTTGGTCTATAAAAACCGATTAGTTAATTTTGTATAGTTTTACTATAAATTATTCAAATGATTTATCGTAGATTCAAATAGAAATTTTGGATTTATACGTATTATCTTGCAAGTTATCTGCTTAAATGTTTATATAATTAAACTACGTATTAGATTCTTTGCTAGTTAAATACCTTTTATTTATAAAATTTTGTTGTATAACAAGATTAACTACCTAAATATCTTAACTTTTTTAAAGCAATTTATATTTTACATATGTATTATCTAGATTTGTTACAAAAATTAATTTTGTTATTGATAGTTAACTTGTAAAACTTTGAACAACATTTTAGCAAAGTGATGATTGGTTATGTCTATGCACATGATCGATAATCATTGATAGATAATCATTTCGAAAAATTTTTGATCATCTATAATTATTGCTACATGTTATGAAATTTTTTTTTTCAACTCTCCAAAATGAATTTATATAAATCTATTCACCAATTTTCAATCCCTTATATTAACTTCATATCACGTAACTCATCGCAACAAACACGTATGTACCATGAATGGGAAGACTCGATATTACTTGATCCAAAAGGTCCATACAATAAAGATTTACCAAAATATAAAAGAGCTGAAGCTCCGTTGGCTTGTGAATTTAAGCAATTATCTAAATTGGAACAGGATGTTATAATGAATCCGTACGGTAATTATTTTGCTAGAAAAATTTTATTGTATTATTAATTTTATTTTAATACGTTATACAAATTCTTATATTTCCACTTGTCAAAAATATCATTAATTTATATAGCAGCAATAATAGCTTCTCCTATAAGGCGTTGCTTCTATCACGAACGATGGTTTCCGAATGGTAAATTTTCTCTCTCGCATATGTTAACTTTATACTAATTAAATCTTAGATTTCTTGGTTAGATTCATAAAAGCATATGATGAGAAAACGAAATCCACGTGGTTAGTTCCAGATTTTGAAGAATACGGTGGTATTAAACGACCTGGGAAAGGAAAATGGTTGAAACTTAATTCTACTGCAATACAAAAAGCTACAAAAGAAGGTATTTAAATAACCTTAAAAATGTAAATTTTTAAAATGTATTTCAATTGGATTAATTTGAATCATTTATATCATTTGAATCATTTATATCGTTTATATCATTTGAATCATTTATATCGTTTATATCATTTGAATCGTTTATATCATTTATATCATTTATTCACGCCTTTTTCTATTTTCACATGCAACTAAAAGGGAAATATAAATATATTGATCCTCGTGCATTCTGGAGACCGGATATGCACAACCATGTTTGGAATATTTTAGTAATGCGAGCTACAGATAGGTTACAAAGGTTTTTTAATTCTGTGGCTACAAAATCATTTCCAGCAAAACGAGATCAAGTTTTATTACGTGTTCTTCCTGGTGCCTCATCAAAATTAATATCAAATAATGATACAAATAACAATATAATAATGAGTAATGATAATGATTCAATTCCTTTTTCATATAAGATTAAAGATGTGAGTTTAAATGATAAAGATAATGAGGATGGTAATCAAAGATTTTATATAGATAATGAAAATCCGATAAATGGATTACAATGTGTGTTCATTCTTGATCATCCAAAACATGATGAAATTTTATGCAATAATTCTGAACTAAAAAATAATAATGACAACAGTATAAAAAACTTATCAATATCATCAGAGGAAAAACAACAATATCAAGAAACATATTTGCAAATACCACAAAAACCATTTGGAACAATACATCCTGTGACTTTCCTTGGAAAAAACAATAAAATGTTTACACAAAATGTACCATTTTATAATGTTCAATATATTTGGGGTAGCAGAGGTGTTGGAAGATTTAAAGGTTTTTTGAAAATTCCTAAATATGAAAATCCAATGTTGGGAATGATAACTCATAGACACACTAAACAATTGGCTATTTCTTTGTGGAAGTTAAGGGGATTTGTCATATAACTCTGTATAAATCTAATTATCCATTTTTCGAAATATAAATTACTTTAAAATTTTGTGTTTTATAATTCACAAAGGAATTTTTAGGCTTTTAGCAGATTGATTCAATAGATTTTGGACATATATTTGTGTCAAAAATTGCGAAATATTGTTTAGATGGTCATAGGTTCAATCTATAGTTGGTGGCATTTTACCACGTGGTAGAATTAATTTTACTACAGCACGTAATGCCGCAATGTCGTAATATCCTAATTAGAGATTGAATTTGTATAATTTAAATGTGTTGGATTGTAATTCACGTCATTTCTAATTCACAAAGTCATTGCTTGCAATAGATAATCATGTAGTTCAAGTATTTTAATTATCTGTTCTTTCTTAACAAAGGTTTTTATAGACATATATCTATATATTAAATTTCTTCGTATTATTAAAATAATTGGGATGTAACGTTTAGACTGTCCTATATAAACAATTTTTTAAATTGTGCTACTTATTTGCTACGAAGATGTTAGGATATTCATGTAACATCGACCATGAGAATCTGACTATCCGATCTGCGATTCAACGTTGTCACATGGCTTCGCAGACCGAAAGGCAGAGGTGACGTATTATGTTATTCAATATATTTACAATCACCATTTACTTAAACATTCATAATTTGGTTTTTTATTTAAATAAATGCTATAAGTAAAATACTGATTCTAAATGCTATACATATATTGAATGACTAATACGTCATCTCTGCCCTTCGATCTGAGACTCAACGTTATCCTATGACTTCACAGACATTTATCTTCACAAAGTCATGTAACAACCTTGAATCGCAGATTAAATAGGGTAAGTGGTATTAAAGTATTGATTTTTCTTAATGCTATATGGCACCTGCATTAATATAACGATTTTATAGATTCATTTATTTAATAACTTTAAACCATCGGCGAAGTGATGGGTTGTACAGTACCTAGATGATGCTTAAATTTTTATCTAATTTTTGAACTGTTTATCTCTCGAAGCATATATCATAATACAACTATCTGGATTAATCGGATTTGATAGAATATGCTAACATCTACTTATAGCAATATTAAATCTAAATCAGTCCAGCTCAACCTAAATCAGGTCAGCCTTGATAGCAATAGTTGAGTCAGATTATCTTCTATGTAATTTACTATTAAAGGTAGCATAGAAAATGTTACAACGTAGAGTGGCTTTTGATAATATAAAATTTCAATCTATCAAAATTCACTAAGAATAAAAATACTATATTTGCTTTCATTCTTGATTTCTAATGCGACTGCATCATGTAAATGCCTTATTTTAAAAATCTTCACTTAGCTTAATTTCAACTAAGAAAATAAATGGCTGTGTTATTAAAAATCATATAAATATTAAAATTTTCAAACTTATCATAATAGTTGTATTTATCCATCTTACAATAATTTGCTTATGACAATTATTTAAATTTTTTACATTGCTTATTGCTAAGTTATGCAATACCACTTAGTTTTTTTCATTTGGGCAATACATAAGCATAATGAAAAATATTTAATCTTCAGTCATCTGTTTTATATACAACACAGCTGTAATATGCAATTTGTGTATTACTTACAAACATCAAATATATAATGGCAAAAAAACATTTATATAACACATCTTACGCTTGGTGCCAAACCTGCGATCCTCAGAAGATAGTACAAGGATGGACAAGTGGAAATAAGGATATAGATGATTGCATTAAAGAATTTCAACTTAAAATCACGTCTTACGAAGATATAATTGAGTGGATTCCTTTTAATAGATTGGTTAATATTCAAAAGAGTGGCGACGGATTTTTAGCAACCTAGTTAGATGGTGTACGATATGTAGATAAATACAAAAATGAAAATGGTAAATATGGAGATGAATATAGATATAAGCAGTCACGTACATCGGCATGTATAATTACACTTAGAATATTGACTAGTTCATTAAATATTCAAGATATTTTGAAAGAAGTGAGTTTATATTCTTCCTAGGTTCTATTCAATTTGCCGTTGGAGTGTGCTAATTTAGAAATAATTTCCAAGAGTATTATGCATACATTTGTTTTAGAACTAATTTCTATATTAGATATCTAACGGTTAAAAATGAACGGTGCTTTAATTAATAGTTATATACTTAATTTATACTTCTTATATTTTATACTTTTTATAAGTTTAAAAACCATACTCAATTAGATGGTAAAAGTGTCCATGGATTAACTCAAAATACATCTACAAACGAATATATGCTAGCATTTGATAAATTTGGTCCTAAGAGAGATAAATGGAATGGAAAATGTTTAAATTGCAACTTATATAACACATCTAAAGCTTGGTGCCAAACATGTGACCCTCAGAAAATAATAAAAGAATGGACAAGCTGAAATAAAGATGTCGATGACTGTATTAAAGAATTTCAACTTAGAGCCACATCTTATGAAGATGTAATCGAATGGATTCCTTTTAATAGATTAGTTAATATTAAAGATCTTGGTGATAGATTTTCGGCAACTTGGTTAGATGGAATACGTTATCTTAATAAAATTAGTTATAATGAATATACACAGTCACGTATACCATCATATAATGTGGAGCTTAAAATATTAACTAGTTCACAAAATTTATTTGATAAGTTAAAAGAAGTAAGTTAAAATATTAAATATTGACATTGCATAAGATATGAATAGCTTTATTTTAATTATATGTAAATATTAATTAGTTTGTAGATTATGTATTATTAAATAATAGTGGTTTTAAAGTATACGGACTAACTCAAAGCACTGTAAAAAATGATTATATGTTAGTGGTTGATGAATTTGATGAATTTGGGTCCAAAAGATCCGATTATAATGGAAAATGTGCAAATTGTAACCGAAATAACACATCTGAAGCTTGGTGCCAAACATGTGACCCTTATAAGACAACACAAGGGTGGACAAGTGGAAATAAAGATATTGATGATTGTATTAAAGAACTTCAACTCAAAGCTACGAAATACGAATATGTAATCGAATGGATTCCTTTTAATAGATTAATCAATATTCAATGTATTGGTGATAAAGCTTTAGCAACTTGGTTAGATGGAATACGATATGCAAAATATGGATACATACAGTCACATATACCATCATATAAAGTAGAGCTTAAAATATTAGCTAATTCACAAAATATTTTGAAAGTAAGCTATAAAATTATTTTATTATATGTAGGTATGTAGATTATTTAATCTGTACTTCACTTATATTATATATTTATTATAGCTATTAGAGCAATTAAAGAATCAATTAGATGGTAAAAATGTCTATGGTTTAACTCAAAACACAACCACAAACGAATATATATTAGTATTTGATGAATTTAGATCTAAAAGATTCAGATGTAATGGAAAATGCGCAAATTGCAACCGAAATAACACATCACCAGCTTGGTGTCAGACATGTGACCCTCAGAAGACAACACAAGGATGGACAAGCGGAAATGAGGATGTAGACGATTGTATTAAAGAATTTCAACTTAAAGCTAAGAAATACGAAGATGTAATCGAATGGATTCCTTTTAACAGGTTAGTTAATATTCAAAATATTGAAGATAGAGTGCTTGCGACATGGTTAGACGGAACACGAATCACTTCAGATGAATATGGAAAGCACACACAGTCACGTGTACCGTCATATAAAGTGGAGCTTAAAACATTAACTAGGTCACTAAACCTATTAAATATTTTAAAAAAAGAAGGATATGTTATTTATTATTATGTGTAACTTATTTAATTAATAGCCTGTCTACATAACAATATTTTACTATATTTTGCATATTTTATAAGTTTGAAAATTATTTGCAATTAGGAAGCCAATTAATAGGTAAAAGTGTCTACGGATTAACTCAAAACACTGCAACAAATGAATATATGTTAGTATTCGATGAATTTAAAAGATATAAAAATCATGGAAAGTGTACAAATTGCAATCGACATAACACATCTTTTGCTTGGTGTCAAACATGCGACCCTAAGAAGGAAACACAAGGTTGGACAAGTGGAAATAAAGAGGTCGATAATTGCATTAAAAAAATTCAACTTAAAACTACTAAATACGAATATGTATTTGAGTGGATTCCTTTTAATAGATTAGTTAATATTCAAAGCATTGGTGACATATTTTTAGCGTCCTGGTTAGATGGGATAAGATATCTAGATTATGAAGGTGGATATATACAATCACGTATACCATCATATAAAGTGGAGCTTAAAATGTTAATCAGGTCACAGAATTTATTAGACATGTTAAAAGAAGTTTAAATATGTATTTAATAATTTATAATTATTACATAATACATGAGTGCTGCCAAAAGAAATGAGGAAATAAGACATTGCGCTTCCAATTATATATAACTTGCCGGACCAAACCCCTAACGATTTGGATCAAAATATAACATTCAATCGAAGTTTAATTGCGTATTGTGTTATATATTGCTGGTTAAGTTTGTCAGGGGGTTTGTCCGGTACATTATATATATTTGAGGCATGAAGCCTTATTTCCTCATTTCACTTAGGCACTTATATATAGCTTTATTTATATTTTAATAAGGTTGAAGATTATGTACAGTTAAAGAATAGCGAATTTAAAGTATATGGACTAACTCAAAACACTGCGACAAGTGAGTATATGTTAATATTTGATGAGTTTCATTATAAAAGAAATGAAGACAACGGAAATTGTGCAAGTTGCAAACGGCATAACACTTCTAAAGCTTGGTGCCAAACATGTGATACTCAGAAAACAGCACAAGGATGGACAAGTGGAGATAAGTATATTGATAATTGCATTAAGGATATTCAACTTAAAGCTACGAAATACTTGGATGTTATCGAATGGATTCCTTTTAACAGATTAGTTAATATTCAGAACATTGGCGATAGAATTTTAGCAACCTGGCTAGATGGAATACGTTATTTAAAAGTAAATTATCATTATAAATATGATA